CCGAGATAGCGTTTTATCCCTGAAACTTAGTTTAGTAAATAGTTTTGCCACGCAACCATTTTGCAAAATAGTTTTAGAAAGAAGCTCACTTTGGAGAAAAATCCAATATTTCTCCATCATTCTACATGACACAAAACATCATAAACCATAAAACCCCCCCATCATCTAGCCCCTACTCAGAAACAAATGCAACAATAAATCAGCGAAAAATTAAATTACCAGATCAATAATCTCTTGAAAATGGACTGATACACCTACACTATCTAAATTCTGATGATTTGTGGAGTTGTGGATAAGCTCGGAAACTTTGTTCAATCTCATCTGCGAAGTTCAAAATCAAAATCATTTCACTTAGACTAATCTGAATTCAATTTTTAACCAAAAATGAACCACAAATTCTGTAAAAACATCATTAAATTATTGTCTTTATTATCAAATTAAGTAATTAAGATTAAAGAACTAGAATAATTGTAAAAATTTCGAAATCAAAATAACCTGTTTTGCCCTTTTTCCGTAAACAAAGAGCATAGCTTCAATCACATTACTTTTCCCACTTCTATTTGGTCCAACAACAGCCGAAAACTCTACAAAAATTCAACAATAAAAACTTAGCAAAATTTTGAAAAAGAAATTAATGGAACTAAATTAGATGATATAAACTCTAACCTTGTGAAAAGGGCCAACATGTTGTTCACCAGCATAAGATTTGAAATTTCTCATTACCATTTCCTTAATGAAGAGTCTCAGAGTTCGAGACCCGGACTGGGTTGACTCGTACGTTGTCGTTGTTGTTGTCGCCGAGTCGGCGCCGGGTTCCATCTCTTTCCCCATTTTAAAAGAGATGGAATTTGTAATTTGAATTATTGTGATTGAAATGAAAAGTGAGATATGAAGATGGAATGAGAGTGAGTCATGAGTTGCGACTCGATATAATTTTAGTGGCGTTTGATTATCGTTCTGGAGTTTGAAATTACGAGTGAGTAGTGGAAACTTTTCGTAAAAAGAAGAAATGGAAAATGAGTAAAAAAAGTTGGCAGGTGAGCGTTTTGGTGGGAAAATCCAAAAATTGAATCATTTTGGGCCTTGTAGTGATGGTTAGGGAGGGTTTTAGGCTTGTTTCTTTGGGCCGGACTAATTAGGATATGATGTTGTTGTGGACTATTTTTGCAATTGGTCTAAGCTACATCCTTGTGCAGCTATTCTAGCTGCAACACCGGCCCACAAGCCCAATTTGAAACACGGCCCATTAAAAAAAAGCACCAAACCAAAATGAGCTCACCCAAAAAACTGAACATATTTTTAAAATGCAACCCACTCAACCGTCATTTATACAAAACCGTCACTCACTTTCAACAGTTATTATTTTTTAAATATAATTTTTTTAAAACCATCACTCTTAAACTTTAAGTTCTGAAAAATATTACTCCTCTCTTTAATTTTCTCTCTCTAACAATCAAACACAATTCACTATCTCTCTTCAAAAACAACCCTGGATATTTGAGATGAGATGAAAAATCAAACAGATTCTCCCCAAAAAAGGCAATTTTATGTAAATTTTACTTGATTTTGTTTGATTTATATGATTATCACTTAATTTTGTTTGAATATTGTTCGAAACTCTGTTGTTCAAAATTTTATTGGATTGTTAAAAAAGATTAGTGAAATCAAACGGATACCTTATGTTCATAAAATGTTTTGAAACCTTCATAATATTAATATTTGTTGTTCGGATATTTTAGATTTAAACACCAGACAAAAACCCGGAAATAGTTTTTAACACCCCCATAAAAAAAAAATTATTTTAACACCAGACAAATTTTACAAAAATGGTTTTTACCACCACTTAACGGTCTCCGTCCAAAAATTCCGTTAAGTGGGGTCCACAGTGACACATGTCACCATTTTACTTATTTTAAAAAATAAAAATTAAAAGAAAAAGAAAAAAGAATAAATAAAATTCCTAAAACTACCCATCCACCCCAGCCCCACCACCGCCACCTTCTTCTCCACCCTCACCTAGCCCGGCCGCCGGCGCATCCACTCCCCCTCTGTTTACCCGACCCACCTGAACCCTCCCCCTCCCTTTCCCCAGCCCTAAACCGCCCTTAACACCGCCAATAGCACCGCAAACGTCCAAACCGCAACCCTCCTTCTCCTAAACATATGAAATTGTATTTTGTTTGATTTATATCAATTTGATCTATGTATGAATTTCGATTTATTATGTGGTGATTTTGTAATGAATTTTAATCAATTTGATTAGGTTTGTGAGCATGTAATTCATATGAATTGAATTCACAGCCTTTAATTATGAACATAAGAAAATTGAAGAAATTAAAAATAAAATGATTATGAAAGATACGCATTATAAGTATTAAAAATATGAACCTGCATCAAAAATATGAATATATGCATTTTAGAAAATGAATATACGCATTCAAAATATGAACATATGCATTGATTCATTTTTTGAATGCGTATAAATATATGCATTTCAGAAGGTGAACATATAAATAAAAAATATGAATATATGGATTTTGGAAATTGAACATATATATTTCATAAAGTTTACATAAGCATTTAAGAAAGTTTACATAATCATTCAAAATATGAATATAAGCATCTAAGAAAGTGAACATATGCATAAAAAATATAAACATATACATTTCAGAAAGTGAATATAAGCATTCAAAATATGAACATAAGCATAGACAGACAAAATGAGAACATTTTATGAACATTAAGAATATTTATCATATTAACAACAAATATTAATATTATGAACATTTCAAAACATTTTATGAACATAAGGTATCTGCTTGATTTCACTAATTTTTTTTAACAATTCCAATAAAAATTTCGAACAACAGAGTATCGATCAATATTCAAACAAAATTAAGTGATAATCATATAAATTCAAACAAAATTAAGTAAAATTTACATAAAATTGCCTTTTTTGGGGAGAATCCGTTTGATTTTTCATCTCATCTCAAATATCCATGGCTGTTTTTGAAGAGAGAGAGTGAATTGTGTTTGATTGTTAGAGAGAGAAAATTAAAGAGAGGAGTAATATTTTTTAGAAAATTAAGTTTTAGAGTGATGGTTTTTTTAAAAAAATTATATTTAAAAAATAATAGCTGTTGAAAGTAACGGTTTTGTATAAATGGGGGTTGGGTGGGTTGCATTTTAAAAAAATATGTTCAGTTTTTTGGGTGAGTTCATTTTGGTTTGGGGCTTTTTTTTAATGGGGCGCGTTTGAAATTAGGCTTGTGGGCCGGTGTTGCAGCTAGAATAGCTGCACAAAGATGTAGCTTAGACCAATTGCAAAAATAGTCCACAACAACATCATATCCTAATTCGCCCGGCCCAAAGAAACAAGCCCAAAACCCTCCTTAACCATCATTACAAGGCCCAAAACGATTCAATTTTTGGATTTTCCCGCCAAAACGCTCACCAGCCAATTTTTTTACTCATTTTCCATTTCTTCCTTTTACGAAAAGTTTCCACTACTCAGTCTTAATTTCAAACTCCAGAACGATAACCAAACGCCACTAAAATCATACCGAGTCGCAACTCGTGACTTACTCTCATTCCATCTTCAAATCTCACTTTTCATTATATACGTAACCATTGTAACAATTATGGGGACACCTTAAAGCAAGATCTTCAGAGATGAAACCAGTTCCATTTGTAAGAATCAAGACTTTACCGTCTTCACCACGGATAATTTCACCATATTCATCCTATTATCATAAGATACAATTTAACAATAAAGGACTACAAAATGACCAGCATATTGAATCAATAAGAAAAGAAAACAGATGATTTACTCGACAAGGTATATCTTCAATGACTTCAAAATGCAAATCATCAAAATTAATGTCCAAGGTTATAGTTTTCGGCAGTACAAGAGAAAACCTGCCAGCATGAACAGATTAAACACCAAACAATGAGCACATTAGACTCGTATTAATCTATACATCATTCTATTTTATAATTTAATCACTTCACTTTTCAAAGGAAATCAAGAATTACACTTTAAAAACAAAATTGCACTAGGAAAGAAATTACAATTTGACAAGAAAAAATAATTAAGTGATGAAATACTACAAATTTTTGTAAGAAAAATAGGTAACAATAATAATATGACCATATTAAGTCGGTCATTTTGATGGAGAATGATTCTGCCAAAATCATTCCAAATCTCAAACTCAAATTCCGTAATAGTAAGCCTTTGATAACTCATAATTTTATCAGCAGAAACAACATCCTCCAAATTACAACTCCACAAAAAAAAAAAAAAAAAAAAAAAAACGCTCTTAATTTCTGAAATTGCAGATAAGTCGAAATCAACAAAGTAATAAATTTGAACGCAGATCACCTCCAAGTGTAATTGAGGATTAAGAAATCTTTTTTGAATTCAATAATTCAAATTACAAATTCCATCTCTTTTAAAATGGGGAAAGAGATGGACCCCGGCGCCGACTCGGCGACAACAACGATGACAGCGTACGAGTCAACCCAGTCTGGGTCTCGAACTCCAAGACTCTTCATTTAGGAAATAGTCATGAGAAATTTCAAATCTTATGCTGGTGAACAACGTATTAATCCTTTTCACAAGGTTAGGGTTTATATCATCTAATTCAGTTCAATTAATTTCTTCTTTAAAATTTTGCTAAGTTTTTATTGTTGAATTTTTGTAGTGTTTTTCGGCTGTTGTTGGACCAAATAGAAGTGGGAAAAGTAATGTGATTGATGCTATGTTCTTTATTTTTAGAAAAAGGGCAAAACAGGTGATTTTGATTTCGAAATTTTACAATTATTCTAGTTTCTTTATTCTTAATTACTTAATTTGATAAAAAAAAGTAAATAATTTAATGATGTTTTTGTACAAAATTTGTGGTTCATTCCTAGTTAAAAATTGAATTTTTTTTGAAATTGCTACCCACCTATTGTAGGAGGATTGGTTAAAAATTGAATTAGATTAGTCTAAGTGAAGTGATTTTGATTTTGAACTTCGCAGAGCGGTTTTTTTTCCCTCCCATCAAACACCAGTTCTGCTTCCTCAATCCTCAAGACAGAACACTACACTTCCTTGTTCCCCCAAATTGTAAAACCCTTACCCTAAAATCCTAAATCCCCAGCCGGCAGCCGCCGTTCCTCTGTCCCGCAGGCGACGCGTCATCAGCCAGGCATCAGGTGCTCCGACACCGACAGTCCGACGGTCCGACGTCCTTGAATTTCGCTGAGGTCAGTGAATTTCATTTCGCTAATTTAATTTCTTTTTTTTGGTAAATCGCTGATTTAATGTTTCATTTCGCTAAATTACTTTACGATTTGGGGATTTTTCCTCTAGAAATTGAAGATTGGTTTTGACTGTGTTTTGTTATAGTTTTGTCTTCATTATAAGTCCCAAATGATTTTTTTAATATGATTAGCCGATTAGAAACTGAAGATTGATTTTGATTAGCCGATTTGGGGATTTTTCCTCTAGAAACTGAAGTTGTGACCGGAAATTTGACTATTTGAGTTGAGTATTTGAGCCCTATAATTTCTGTTTAGTCACTTTTCTTGAGAGAGATTTATTTTCTAGAGTTAGTGATGATGATGTATTGGAACGCTTCCAAAGTATGAAGACTCGAAGAATGCTGCTTCTTTAATTTTTTTCCCCCCATTTTTCTATGTGTAATCTATTTGTAATCCATAGTTTGAACTTATGTAGTGAATATTTAATTATCATATTTTTATTCTTTTGTTAATTACGATTCCAAACTTCAGAAGTTTCGAACCCCCTGGAGACGCCACTGCCTCCCAGTGTAATTGAGGATTAAGAAAGCCTTTCGGAATTCAATAATTCAAATTACAAATTCCATCTCTCTTTAAAATGGGGAAAGAGATGGACCCCGGCGCCGACTCGGCGACAACAGCATACGAGTCAACCCAATCCGGGTCTCGAACTCCGAGACTCTTCATTAAGGAAATGGTCATGAGAAATTTCAAATCTTATGCTGGTGAACAACGTGTTGGCCCTTTTCACAAGGTTAGGGTTTATATCATCTAATTCAGTTCAATTAATTTCTTCTTCAAAATTTTGCTAAGTTTTTATTGTTGAATTTTTGTAGAGTTTTTCGGCTGTTGTTGGACCAAATGGAAGTGGGAAAAGTAATGTGATTGATGCTATGCTCTTTGTTTTCGGAAAAAGGGCAAAACAGGTGATTTTGATTTTGAAATTTTTACAATTATTCTAGTTTCTTTATTCTTAATTACTTAATTTGATTAAATTGACAATAATTTAATGATGTTTGTACAAAATTTGTGGTTCATTTTTGGTTAAAAATTGCATTCAGATTATTCTAAGTGAAATGATTCTGATTTTGAACTTCGCAGATGAGATTGAACAAAGTTTCTGAGCTTATCCACAACTCCACAAATCATCAGAATTTAGATAGTGCAGGTGTATCAGTCCATTTTCAAGAGATTATTGATCTGGTAATTTAATTTTTCGCTGATTTATTGTTGCATTTGTTTCTGAGTAGGGGCTAGATGACGGGGGTTTTATGGTTTATGATGTTTTGTGTCATGTAGGATGATGGAGAATACGAAGTTGTTGAAGGCAGTGAATTTGTCATAACAAGGGTTGCATTTCGAGACAACTCTTCGAAGTATTACATTAATGATAGAACAAGTAACTTCACTGAAGTTACCACTAAATTGAAGGCAAAAGGAGTCGACTTGGATAATAATCGATTTTTGATCCTTCAGGTCTATTAGATTTATTGTAATTTAAATTTTTGGTTCAATTTTCTTTTCTGTTTATTTCAGAGTATTTCATACAAAGTAACTCATGTTGATTGGCTGTTGTTGTTGGGTTGTAGGGCGAGGTTGAACAAATTTCACTAATGAAGCCGAAAGCTCAAGGACCTCATGATGAAGGGTTTCTTGAATACTTTGAGGATATAATAGGGACTAATAAATATGTGGAGAAGATAGATGAGTCTTCTAAGCAGTGAGTTTTCTCTATTCAGCTTTTAGTATTGCAAGATAATAAGTCATATTCTTTGTATTTATGGTAATGCTATATAATCTTGGTGAAGTTGTTTGTTCAAACTTTTTATTTTTCTGGTACTCGATCTCATTAGCAAATCAATCTGGTAGGAACCTTTGAAGTTGTATAACATGGAGAAACTGAATAGATTTAAGCGCTAAAACACAAATATTTCTATTCAACTTATAAAGAGTAGTTGCCCCATTCATGGCTGTATTCTTGCAGAAGTGTATTAGCTGCGAGCTGCTTTTGCACCGTGCTGTACTCATGTCAGGTTAAGGATTATAGTGATCCATTCTGACTTTGTTTAATAATATCTGCATCATCAGATTAGAAGCTCTAAATGAGAAGAGATCTGGAGTTGTGCAGATGGTCAAGTTGGCCGAGAAAGAAAGAGACAGCTTAGAGGTATTCACTATTATATTATATCATTATAGCCTTTGCAATTGTGCGTGTTAAGGACTTTGAAGAGGCAAATGAAAGTCCTTTACTGAATCTGTATTGTCATGATCAACAGGATGTGAAGAATGAGGCAGAATCTTTTATGCTGAAGGAACTATCACTGTTTAAATGGCAAGAGAGAGCTACAAAACTTGCTGCTGAAGACAACAATGCTAAAATGGCTGAGCTGCAAAATAACTTGTCTAGCTTGGAAGAAAGTTTGAAGTTGAAAAGGTGTTTTTGGTCATATGTGATTAATACAATTTTTCTCTTACATGAGTGTATTTTCTAAATGTCATTCTAAACACTTGTCGTAGAGAGGAGATCCAGGGAAATAAATCTACTTTGAAGGAGCTTGAGACTTTGCACAATAAATATCTCAAGAGACAAGAGGTTTGCATCATTTGATTCCAACCATTTATATCTTGTATATAGTTGCACATCTTAGGTGTTGAAGCTGACATTAGCACTTCAGCTAAATCTTGATTGCTTTGTCAATTGTGTGTTATGCATGTTGGAAATCCCAGGAACTTGATAATGACCTCAGGAGTTGCAAAGAGGAGTTTAAAGAGTTTGAAAGGCAAGATGTTCAATATCGTGAAGATTATAAGCACATGAAGCAAAAGATAAAGAAGCTCGAAGATAAAATTGAAAAGGTTGGATTAATGTCATTAATTGAACATACGACTCCTTTGGCAAATTTCTAATTATTGGTCTCAAAATAGGATTCGTCGAAGATCAATGACTTTACAAAGGATTGTGAGAATGCCACACAAGCAATTCCAAAACTGGAGGAAGATATTCCTAAGCTGCAAAAGCGCTTGGTGGAAGAAGAGAAGGTTTTGGAAGATATAAAAGAGAAATCTAAAGGTGGATTTTCACTTTTATATAAGTTTATGATGCATTGTCATTTTCTGCTGCCTGAATGATTTATTAATGTTCATGTTGTACTTTTTTATGCTATATGTATTAATTTCTCGAAGGACTGCCAGACCTTCTGAAGTCAATATAGTTTAAGAAAATTGTTTGTGTCAGAATTTACTGCTCGTCTTTGTTGCCTGGGATTCTTGTGCAAGTTTTGTAGTTTGGTTCCCAAGCTTTTTTTTTTTTTTTTTTTTTTTTTTTCTTATTTATTTTATTACTTAAATGCTTTGATAGATCTTACTTTGGCAATTGAAGATTTCAAGTTTTAAAGTCTTTAAATATGTTGATATCTTTGAGCAGTCACTATTCCAAATATAGCAAGGTGCATTGAATCATTAGAGTTTGTTTCTTGTAAAATTTTCTCGTTCAAATTTTACAAACCGTGTTAGCTGGTTTTTGGTATATCTGCATGCTTAATACTTTGTACTACATTTGTAAGCTGTCAGATCATGGCTGCGTGAAATGTACATATATCTTTGATAAATTGTTATTATTCTACAGCGTAATCTGTTCGTTTTTATTTTTTTATTTTTATGCTAACTTTTATTGTTATAAAATACTGAGAATACTTTTTGTGATGGACAATGGATGTATTGTCTTCCTCGTTAAGTTTGAAAATTTAGTTAAAAACTATTTTCCAATTGGAACCTGAACTTGATCTCAGATTCTATACATCTTTTGTGAAACATGTCAATCTTGATGAATCTTTGTCCTTTGAAAATGAAATTAGGTGAAACTGAGATTCATCGTTCTGAGTTGGCCAAGGTTCGCGCTGAGTTGGAACCTTGGGAGAATCAATTGATGGACCATAAAGGGAAACTGGAAGTTGCATCTACAGAGCGGAAGCTTTTAAATGATAAGGTGATTTAAAAAACATAAGCAACTATGATGTCGGTGTCACTCAGCTATGCAGGCATTTGATACAAAGTACTCTACTTTTTGAACTAAATTGTTGAATTGCTATATCCCTTATGTGATCAGCGTACCAAATGCAGTGCCTACATGGCTGTGGGAAACATGATTTAATGAACTGTAGGTGAGGTGTGCCTTGTAGAGCATGATGTAATTGCAATACTTAAGTTTTTGCATGAGCTGATTTACTGCAGTTGTTATGTGCTACCTAGTGCCTGATAAATTACAAAAGTCCTTGATTTTAGTACTCCCTCCGTTCTCAATTTAAAGTCCCTTTTTCTTTTTTCACAAGTTTTTAGGATGATAAATAAAAAACGTGGTAGTAGGGTTTGGTTGGTTAGAAGGGAATAAATAAAATAAGAGAGTGTAGTTTGGTTGATTAAATGTGTATTATGAAATAAATAAAGGTGAAATGAGACTTTTATCTAGCAACAAAGTTTTGGTGAGAAATGAAATATTTTATTTGGAGGCAATGATTTATTTTGATGCAATATATTTAAAGCTCATTAGCTTGATATTTTGTAATTTAATTTTTAATCAATGCCTAGCTATTGACCTTAGAAATACGTGCCTTGCTTTGGAGATGGTTCTTGTCTTATGCATCTGCTTCAAGGTTGCTGTCATATTTGGACACCTTGTGCCTTTGAAACACTTGGTATGGTAGATTGGTAGTATTCTGGTTTTGGAATAGGTAGACTGATGGGCTCTTATGCTAAAACCTTGATTTAATGTGCATAAATCTCATATATTTGTATATTTACAGGCTATAACTCAACTGGAAAGTTGTTTTTAATGTATTTGGTTTGATTGTTGGAAGAAATATGATGCTTTTCTGTTCTATTTTGTTATGTTGAGCTCATGTAATTGCCTTTCATGAGTTTGATCTTTATGCTAAAAGTGTTTCATTTGTTTACTTCAGCATGAAGGTGCACAAAAGGCTTTTGAGGATGCTCAAAAGCGGCTGGAAGATATAAGTGATCAGATTAACTCTAAATCTGCTGCCATCACAAGCATTAAAAACGATTTGGAGAAAAAAGAGTCTGAGGCCTCTAATGCTCGTAAAGCAGAGCAAGTAAGTGCATTATTGGTTACTTTTCGTTAAGGATTGATACTTTGTCAGAACTTGCATATAATTGTATCAGAGGCAGCTAGAAGACTGAACTTTTGTGACTGGACAGGAATGTGTCAAGGAGCAAGAATCTTTGATTCCTCTTGAGCAAGCTGCAAGACAAAAGGTTGCTGAGCTTGTATCTGTTATGGAATCTGAGAGGAGCCAAGGATCTGTTCTAAAAGAGATCTTAAGGGCCAAGGAAACAAATCAGATCAAGGGAATACATGGACGAATGGGTGATTTGGGTGCTATAGATGGTGAGCCTGTAGATGCAAAAACAGTTGATCATAGTTGCTTTTATGACACTGTTTTATGATATGTGAATCAGTTATGGGGATTATTCTTTGTGTTCGATTCTGTCAAATCCTTTATCTTCAGAGAAAAATATATCAGTGCAATGTCATGGTCTACTTTTGGCTCCTTATATGCCTATCTTATTGACTTTATTCCCTTGTTTGTCCCCTATGCAGCTAAATATGATGTTGCTGTGTCAACAGCATGCCCTGGACTTGACTATATACTTGTTGAGACAGCTGAAGCAGCCCAAAAATGTGTAGATTTGCTACGTGAGAAAAACCTTGGTGTTGCGACCTTCATGATACTGGTACACTTTAATATTGTTTCGTTGAAGTCACTAGTTCTATTGTTGATGTGGTTATATTTCAGAAGTAGTCCAAAATTTCCAAGGATGATGATTGCTAGCACATCTAAGTTATATATCTCATCTCTTTAAAGAAACAAAATACTAATTTAAAGTAACAAATTGAGGTTTCAGACTATAAAAGAAATTTGAGGTTATCAACTTTGTCATTGATGTTGATTCCTTAAATTAGGAATAGCTTTAGCAAATTAAGCTTTTCGATAGAAAATTGTTTTAACTTGTGTATTGATTTTTAAAAATTCACTATGTGATTGTTCTTTCCATTTCATATTGTTTTTTGTAAATTGGGTTGGTAGATATATAAAAGCAGCATATTGGTGGGCATGACATGTGATAGTAAGAATATCTCATGGGACCATTAGGCTTGCAATATAAAAGAGGTGTGTGAACACATGAAAAAAAGGTTTATGAAAGCATATCATAAAGGGAAATTTTGCAAATAATATGTAACTTCCACAAAAAAAAAAATGGTGCAATTATTAAAAAATCGAAAGAAGTATTTGACATAAGACATATCAGTCTTATGAGTTTTGTCTGAGTGGTCAAAACTTGTGAATGTTTAACATGCTAAGGGGCTCCTAAGGTAGAAGAGCTGGAAACTTTCAAAATGGGAAACTACACTAGCAGTCTGTATTGATTATTACTGTTCAATGGCCTGTTGGCCTGTTGTATAGCAGGTTTATGTTACTCTGTTAGGACTTAGGATGTGTAAACTTGACATTAGTCTGCATCTTTAGAAAAGATTAGCACAGAAATTAAATTTGCAGATATCTTGGTGACCTTTTTCCTTTGGAATACTTCTTTGGAAAATGATGTTATTCTTAGTTTAATCATTACAGAACCTAGGTATATGCTTGCTTCAATTGGGGTTTTGACTGGCATGACTGCATAGCAGACTCTTGATTCTTGAAAGAAATGGATTTTGTTGAACACATTTCTTGCTTTCCTTTTGTATTAGCATTTTCTGGATCTGTTTGACAGCATCCAGATTTATACGTAGACAAACATTGAATTTAGCTCTTCCTTTTTGTAGGAGAAACAAGAGAGACATGGTGATCAGTTGAAGAGAAAAGTAAATACCCCGGAGGGTGTTCCTCGGCTTTTTGACTTGATTACAGTCAAGAATGAAAGATTAAAACTTGCATTTTTTGAGTTGCTTAAAAACACTGTTGTGGCGAAAGACCTTGAGCAGGTAACGTTTTCATCAAAAGCATCTTTGTATGTTACTTTGACCCCATATTTTTGCTCTTTAATTTTCACTTTGGCATCTCTTCTTCATTGTCTGACTTTTGTTTCTGGAATTTTAATAGTGAGCCAGTTTGTCACCTAATAATAATGAGCTACTACAAGAAGATATTTCTCTTTGTGATGCCTAACATTACAAGTAGCTTTGATGGACCTATCTTGATTATAAGTTGGACTACAGTTGAAAATTTTACGCCCCTTGAATTGCATGATACGAAGTATTTAGAAATGACCTTTACAAAACAGATGTCCCCATTGGTGTGAAGAGTTTTCTGGTGTTTTGCCTCCTAAGTCTTTGTCGAACTATCTAATAAACTTGACAATCGCCAATTATACATTGTCATCAGTTGTCAATTTTGCACTTTGCAAGAAAAATGTTTGACATGTGCTGACTAGGTTATACATGTTGAGTTATTGGTAAGCCTTGACTAGTTTAAATTTAAGTACTAGCCTTTGACCTTAGCTAACCACTTATCATATCATATCATATATATATATGACTAATAAATAAAGCCGGTCTCGCAGCCAGGCCACGAGACAGCGACACTTAGCATTCCAGTTTTTCGCCAAGTGTCACGCCACATAGGCGACACATAGGTATTATTGTGACACATATAATGCTAAGTAAGTGAAGTTTGGATAGATTTTTAAAGATAAAAAAAGTTGTATAGAGTTTTATTATCCATAAAATTCTAATATTTCATATATACAAAATTAATCATAACTTTTATAAAATATCTTATAATTCGGTACTATTTCCATCATAAAATTCGTTTTAAAAAGTTCTCATTTACAAAAATAATAGAGAACTAGTGAAAATAAATTTTAATCATGAAAAATAATTTTTGTTTTGGTAAGAATACTTTTAGTTCAATAAAAATAATTTCAGCTCAATAAAATATATTTCAATTCAGTATGTCTAAATATCCTGCATTATCAAAAGGGACTATATGATCGTATTTAACATTCAATCCAAAAAGTTTATCCTAAACTTTTATCAACCATCTGGGCATTGTACGGGTACAAAACTAGTATTGTTTATTTTTATTATAAGTATTAGCTTTAAATTTTTTATATTTTATTTAAATTTGTTTATCTGAAGTTTAAAATCCTAATAACTAGATTTGAACAAAATTAGTCTATCTGATAGAAATCTCAGAAATTAGTCGATCTGTTATCTATTATTTTTATCTTCTATATACTGTACTTTCAGTGATATTCCTAAAGTAATAACTGCACGTGACTCTCACCAAAATAAATACATAAATAACTAACTGCAAGTAACACTTGGCAAACATTACAATAAGTTTGTGCTTTCTATATCATTATTATAATTTCTAAAATTGTGTAAAAGATAAAAAAAAACATTTTAATTGCTGAGCATATCTTTTATCGACAACCTTAGTTATTTATCTGTGTTTTTGTAGACCATGGAAGATGTTAGATTTTGGAATGAAGTCATCCCCTATAATATAGTTGAATCCTTTTTTGTTTCATTATTCTATAGGAAAATGGTACTTTTCATATTTTGGCGTAGAAAAACAATTTAGGCAGAAAATTGTAAATAAGGAAAATATATGTGTACTTCTAGAAGGAATTTGGTTATTGATTTATTATTATACATTAAAACATATAAAATAGACTGTCCCAAATTAGTAGAAGCATTGGGTTATATGAGTCACTGATGATGCTATCTTAATTTTTTTTTTTATTCTTACCATATAATGACTAAGGGAGAGATTAATCATTATTTTTTGGCTGGTGCATGTTTTTATCCTTTTTTACTAGGGAAATGTCTACCCAAAAGGCTGAGGTGATGAGAGCTATTATAATTTACAGCATTTCACTGTTTCTATGTCAGTTGCTTGATGGTGGTTCAATAAGATCAAGACTCAATTATATAATGGATCTCCCAATAAGATAAAAGAAAGTTCTCAACAACAATCTGTTGTGAAATTGTTTTGGTGTTAACTTGTGGAGGCTCCTATGATGATTTATCTGACTGTCCTTTTGTAGGCATCACGCATAGCATATGGTCAGAGCAGAGACTTCAGGAGAGTGGTTACATTGGAAGGTGCTCTCTTTGAAAAATCCGGGACTATGAGTGGAGGGGGGAATAAACCACGTGGAGGGAAAATGGGAACATCTATTCGTGCTGACACTGTTTCTAAAGAAGCTGTTACTGATGCTGAAAAGGAACTTTCCATGTTGGTTGATAAATTAAATGCAATTCGGAGAAGAATTGCTGATTCTATTCAGAGTTATCAGTCTTTAGACAAAGCTATCCAACACTTAGAGATGAAATTAGCCAAGAGTCAGAAGGAGGTGAATCCTGAGATTGAAATTTGTATAAGCTTTATGAAAGTATTGTTTTTTATTCATTGTTCCTGCTAATAACAGGGTTGACTTTTGACTTAACAGATTGACAGTTTGAATACTCAAAATGATTATCTTAAGAATCAACTTGAGTCTCTAAAGTCTGCTGCACAACCAAAGAAGGAAGAGGTATCCAGGCTTGCTGTGCTCCAAAATACAATAAATGCAGAAGAGAAGGAGATTGCCAAACTTACACAGGGTTCTAAGAAATTGAAGGAGAAGGTATGATAATTGCACTTGAAGTAATATTTCTTCCACTTTCAATTTCATCATGGAGTTTGTTGACTGGCTGATAATTGAAATGTGAGTGCTTAGTACTTTAGTTACTAAATGCAATTTTTTTTTTATTTTCATTGAATTCCAGGCATCAGAGCTTCAAAATAAGGTAGAGAATGCTGGCGGTGAAATACTTAAAAACCAAAAGGCAAAGGTCGACAAACTCCAGTCTGTAAGTATCCGGGATGGTGCATTGACTGCATTCATTTTTAAAAAGGATTATCTGAATAAATATTTACCACTGATAGCTCTATTGTGTCATTAGGATATTGACAAACACGGGACAGAGATAAATCGCCACAAAGTTCAAATAGAGACTGGTGAAAAAATGATTAAAAAGCTGACTAAAGGGATAGGGGATTCAAAGAAAGAACAGGAATTTCTTCATCAAGAGAGGGAAAAGATGCATTCAACATTTAAGGCAATAGAACAGAAGGCATTCGCTGTGCAAGAGAATTACAAAAAGACAGAGAAGGTTTTTCTCAGTCAATCTTGCTAATTAGAGTTCAACTTCAGTTAATAATTTGTGTTGCTAGTTGAGATTCTTTAATCCTTGCTAATTTACTCTATCAGCTGTTCGGTGAACATAGAGAAGTTCTGGACAAAGCAAAATCCGACTATGAGAGCTTGAAGAGGAAAATGGATGAACTGCGGGCAACTGAGGTTGAATCTTTTGTTTTAAGTGTTTCTAATTTAAATTTCATTTTTATCTTCCATTACTTAGTAACAGGTGATGCTGGTATAACAGGTTGATGCTGATTTCAAACTTAAAGACATGAAGAAACTTCACAAAGAGATGGAAGTTAAGGAGAGGGGATACAACAAAAAGCTTGATGATTTGCAGAATGCTATCATGAAGCACATGGAGCAGTATGAACTGACCAATTTGTACTTAATTCTTTGTTTGCAAAGGCTTATTCTGAACATATTACATTATGGATAATCTGATGTTTTCAGAATTGCGAAAGACTCTGTAGATCAAGAAAAGCTAAAGTCAACCCTGGAAGATGAGACTCTTTCCATGCCTTGTAACCTTAAAAAGGCCTTAGAGATGGTAGCTTTGCTGGAAGCACAACTGAAAGAAATGAATCCCAATCTTGATTCAATCTCTGAGTACTTTTCTCCCTATTGACTCAAATACTTTAAATTTGTGCTGCTGCAAACAGGTTACTAACTTATTGTCCAACATTTTAGATATCGCAAAAAGGTGGCATCATACAATGAACGGGTAGATGAGCTTAATGAAGTTACTCAAGAGCGTGATGACATTAAGAAACAGTATGATGAATGGAGAAAGAAAAGGTTAGTTTATTCTTTCCTTGTTTGTCCTGTCTTTACTGTAGCATAATTTTATGCTTTTTGAACTAATGTGGAAACACTTGATTTCAGGTTAGACGAGTTCATGGCTGGATTTAATACCATATCTCTGAAGTTGAAGGAAATGTATCAGGTCTGTGATTGATAGCTGTAAATATTTCGTCTTCATTTGTGTTTGTTTATCCTTGTTTGGAATAGTCGAAGAAAGGCATATGAAGTAGAGTGGTATCTGAAATTGCTTATGAATGATTTTTGTATTGAATATATTAGTCTCCAAATGTTTTTTAGCTTGATTGTTTTATCTATCTTTTTGGGTGCTGCTTCCTTTGTTTCTCGATGATAATATGTAGTTAATGTTAGCATGTTTATAGTGTAAATAGTCAAAATGATGTACTTATTTAGATTTAGGAAGTGTATGCTTATTTCTCTGAATGATATCTATGGTACATTGATACCACATATGTGTAGCTATAATGCTCTTATACTTAATAATTGTGAGCCATATTGCCATGTTAATGCACCTTGTAGATGGTAACATGGATCAAATTCTTTAAGAAGTTGGCACATGTTAAGTTTTTATCGAGCATCTCTTGGTTTGCATCTTCTTCCAGTGTATTTGTGCATCATAAAGTGATCTTGATTTTATGTATGAGATGCAGATGATTACACTTGGCGGAGATGCAGAGCTGGAGTTAGTGGATTCTTTAGATCCTTTTTCTGAAGGGGTTGTTTTCAGCGTGAGACCACCAAAAAAGAGCTGGAAGAACATTGCAAATTTGTCAGGTGGTGAAAAGGTAAATTGCTTAGTGTTGTAGAGTTTCGTTTCAGATACTGCTCTCTTAATTTCCCTGATGCTGGTCTCAGCCTTTGCTGGTTTGCCTTTTTCTTTCAGACTCTCAGCTCTTTAGCGCTTATTTTTGCTCTTCATCACTACAAACCTACCCCACTTTATGTGATGGATGAGATTGATGCTGCACTTGGTATCTTCTTGAATCATTCATTTTTTTTACTGATCCTTAAAATTTGTGGATTCCTGCTTGAGTGAGATGTTTGCTGTATCTTGTCTTGGCAGATTTCAAGAACGTTTCAATCGTTGGGCATTATGTAAAGGATCGTACAAAAAATGCACAGTTTGTAATCATAAGGTTGATATTTTGTAATATCAAATTGTTTTATATTTTTCCTGGCCTTACAATCTTATCTGTTCATTCTTATGTATCCTGCAGCCTCAGAAATAACATGTTCGAGTTGGCTGACCGGCTTGTTGGTATTTATAAAACTGATAATTGCACAAAGAGCATAACAATTAACCCTGGTAGTTTTGCGGTCTGTCAAAAGGCTGCTTGAAGAAGGATTGAGCTGTTCAGAATTTGGAATTGCAAATCATAATGTCTTTGTATAAGGTTAGCTGATTTATGAATGCCGCGGTATTTATGGTTACTGAAGGCCTAATGTATTAAACGTCATATAAACATGCTTGTAAATTGTTCTTACACTCACTAATGATGAATTTATGTTCATACTAGTTTAGCCTAATATTTATGTATTTATTGCTAGGTTTTTGCTGCTTATGCAACATTAATGATCATGATCTGTACCTTTGATGTTATTATTAATGAACATTTAATGATAGGGTAATTTATTTATTTTTAACAAAGATTGATTCATAAATAAAAAGTCATACGACATCTACAAAGAGATTTATATCAAACAAATACATGACAATTTAATTAAATAAGAACATTCTTTCAGCAAAGCTACGATCGTTGTAAATTGTACATTCTTTATACCCTTTTTTACATGGCTGTGATTTACGGCCTTCTTCGATGAGGGGTCTATCGATTTGTTGTAGTCTTGAAATTTTTTTTTGCCTGATTTGTCTGGTTGTAATAGGAAGATTAACCCATTTTTCGATCCCGCACAAATCTTTACCCATGAAACAACTCTACAACAATCCATAAAACAAAAAAGCAAATCCTCCCTCAAAAGAGAGAAGAAAAAACTTTTCTTTCGAAGGAGAAAAATCCTCCTAAAGAAGAGGAAAGACCCTTTTTTCTAGGGAGAAACGTTCCTCTTAAAAGAGGAAGAGTTATTATAAACCTAGAAGAAACAAAACAAAGATTAGGGTTTTTCACCGGTAAAAACCGATGGAAGTCCCTACAAAATTCACCAATAGAGGCTAGGGTTTTTAGAGAGAAGAGAGGGGAGAGAGGAGAGAGGAGAGAGGCTAGGGTTTCTTAAAATTTGTTGACTTTAATGATATGGTAATAAACATATAGTAAAAGAGATGATTTTTCTTTAAAAAAAAAAAATAAAGGAAAAAACAAAAGAGAAAAAAAAAGAAAAAAACAAAAGAGATGGTTTAGTGTTGAGATTTTAATGAGCTAGTAATTATATGATAATGAACATGTTCATTCTAATATAGTTTGTGTAAAAACCTATTTTTTTAAAATTTTTTTTTACAATTTTACAATAATATCAAAGTGAAATTGTATATGACAAAAATTTAAGTATTGGATATCAAAATATACAATACAATTTCACACATAATATTAGGCATAATAAACTTCGCGATCCAAATTTAGGAAATTCATGCTCGTGTAAACTTTCACTTTATGTTCAAGGTTACACATAATAAACATTTATCCATGAATAGAAACAATCTAATTTTTGTTCATTTATCCATAAATAGAAACAATCTAAAAAAAAATCAAAATTTCACTATGTTCAAATAAATAAAATCAAACCCAATTCAAAAATCAAACTCAAATAAATTAAACCAAAATCAAATTTAAGATTTGAAATTAAACTCAAATAAACAAAAATCAAACCCAAATAAACAAAAATCAAACCTAAGATATGAAATCAAACTGAAATAAACAAATCAAACAAAAAACACAACAAAAATGAAGAAAAAGAAACTCACCCATTTCCGGACCAATCACCACCACCCTCCACTTACACCAATACCCATTCACAGACCTGCACACCACCCCAAACTCCATCACCATGGAGCCCCGACAAACCACCAGAAATACAACAAAACACACCATAGCTAAAATAACCCCAAAAAACGAAAATAAGACAAATCAAACGAAACTTAACCAAAAATCGAAATAAACTAAAAATATTTAAAAAACAAAAAAAAAAAAATAACAAAATTAAAAAAAAAAGGAAAACAAAAAAAAACAAAAAATACACAAATATCAACATACCTATCTCAAATTTCATCTTCTATGAGTTTATATGATCAAATTCGACAATAAAAACACCAAATTTGGAATTTGTATGTTTGAATTTGACCACTTAAACCACAAACGAAAGTGATGAATGAGAAAAAGGAACCCAAAAATCCATATTAACGAGATAGAGAGGATCACAGGTGCGAAGAGAAGTGAGAAAGAGGGGGGGGGGGTGTTGATTGAGAAAAACCATGAGAAGTATGAGAAGAGAGAGGGTTTCCTTGTTTAATTTTCTTTTTCTTATTTTATTTCCTTTTTTTTTTGTCATATTGTAATTTTCTTTTTTTAATTCAATGGAAACTTTCGTACCTTCTGATTTATATGCCATCAATTTTATTTCCCTATATTTTTGCAAAGGATTGCTGGTTATATAGGTCATAAATTGTTTGAGTACCTTGTTTGCTTCATTCCAAACTTCAGTATACCTCATCCGCAACTAAATGCTAAGTGTAGTACCTTGTATTTGTATTTACTCTAAAAAAAATTAGCTTGTAGACATTCAAAATTGACATTCAGCAAGTTTCAATGTTCACTTCTCTGGCAGTGAAATTGCAAAATCAAACAGTCAACTAATTCAAAGCAGTTTGGTGAAATTACAAAGTATTGACTCTATCAAGATCTTCTCAACCACCACAATACCAATTGTTCTGTATTGTATGTAATGATTCACTTTAACCCTTTTAAAACTATAGGCTTCACTTGTAATTATCAATAGTGATTATTTATAAGTCCAATTTCTGAATGACACTTTTTTTTTATTTTTTTTTTATTTTTTCTTATTAAGATAGACGAACTATAGACAATTTTTTTAATTACTTTTTTTTAATTTGCATTTATGCTCATGTGACAGCATAACCTAACCGACTTTATAATTAAGAACGAAGTATTTTTTAGGGTATGACGGGATGAAGTTCTTTTGAGGAGGATAACTTAAAGCTTTAAAGAGAAAATGTGAAATGATTGAAAAAGTTATTTCGTATTTAAAAATTCAGATGATACACAATACACCCTAAAATATCAAAAAGAAATATTAAGAGAGAAAAAAAAGAGTATTTGAAAAATGGGCAGGATTAAAGAAATATGGAGTAATTCGTAGTTTTGTACTACATAGTATACAATAAAATCATGGATAAGATAGTAAAATAGAATGTAGGCACTGGGTAAGAGTCAAAGGTTACAAAATAATTTCTTAACAAGTTGGTCTTAATACATGATTATAGATTTTTTTTCTTCTTTTTGTTGATACAAATGTAAAAATACGGTCCAAGTCATATTGAGCCTTTTGTAACTAGTTAAATAAAGTACGCTAGCCAATTATGATGGACCTAGTTCATTTAACTCCTTCACCTAATCTTAACGGAGTGAAGAAGCACATATAACTTAGACAGAGAACAAGTTTTTTTAGGATTTGCTTTAACAAAATAATAAAAAAAAATCAATAAAAAACTAAAAGCCGCGAAGTTAACAAATTAGACAATAAACTACTCCCTCCGTTAATTTTTATTTGCAACTCTTACTATTTTAGTCCGCTAAACATTATGTGCAACTTTCTATTTTCTTTCTATTTTTAGTCAACAAAAACTCCAGAAATTACATATTTACCCTTACTTAAAAATTCTGATTTTTATAATTTTACCCTTATTTGCAAGTGGGTGGGCCAACTTTCTCTCTCCTATCACTTTAATTACCTTTATTTACTTCCTCTATTATTTGCCCCTTAAGTTTTGCCTCGTGAACCGCAAAACACTCCAAAGTTGCAAGTAAAAATTAACGGAGGGAGTATAATATATAAGTACTCAAACTAAATACGTAGAAAACATAACTATAGTAAATAAAAACGACAAGTGCTAACACATATCATTAACTATAATCGACTTTTGAAATCTCAAATATAAGAGCTAATTAGAACATCATCTTCCTTGTTGTCTTCTCCATCCTACCCACTATCATCTCCACCTCTAAACTCGTACTTCTCAATCTCCTTTCTTTGTTCATCAAGGGTATTAGGTAAGTTGCTCAAAGTATGTTCAACGTCCTCACTTAATGTACCACTAGCAGAAACTCCTAATTTATTCTTCACCTAATTCTAATAGTTTGTGGCCCCCGATAGATTTGAATGCAACCTCCACACTCGAGGCAACAATGACAATCTTGCTACCTTTGTCTATATCTCGTTAATGTCATCCGAATTCATTTGACTCTCCAACGTTCCTCTACGTACTGAAGGAGTCAGCTTGAAATTCACCTTCATAGTTTTCAAGAACTTTGCCATCTATTTAATTATATGTGTCAAATAATATACACATAAAATGTGGAAAATATGTGTAATAACAAATTACATGAAATCATTACGAATAAATAAATTACATGTAATAAATCATTAATTTCCAGTTCACTTAATTTTGGCTTTTATGGTACTAATATTTAGGACGATAATGAGATACGCGAATAATACTAATATTTTTAATACTTTAAAGTCATTTTCATGAGAATTGTATTAACAAAATTATGCGCTAATTTGATTAACCCAAAACATTCGAAACTTATCATTAGAATCGACACTTCCATAGCTTCAATATTAAATGTTCCATTGCATATGAAGAAATTAAATTGAACTCAACCTTCGTGCGTAGTTTTCATTTGTTTCAAGAATTTGACTAGACTATCTTATTATCTTTTCCTTATTAAATCACATAAACATAAGAAAAAATTGATTTTAATAATCTCAACTTTAGCCAATAGCTTTTAATAATCCAACTTTGGATTATTTTTAAATAATCCTAACTTTAAGGGATATTCGCTTTTATTGGTCATAAGTAACTGGTAACTAGTTAAATAGGTTTTTTTTTTTTTTTTACTTTAATTGACACGTGTAAGCATGTAAATGGTCAGAATTTGCAAGATCGAAACTGATGATAATGTGGCCGATCCTTTGACTAAACCTCTGCCTCAAGTGAAGCACAACAAGCACATTGAGGCAATGGGAATCAAGCACGTTGGAGATTGGCTTTGAAATTCCCTGTACACGTGTTTTTAATTGAACTAGATGTTTTAATGTAAGACACTGTGTTGAAACCATTCATTTATGGAGTAATGAATTTTATATTTTATATTCACTCCATTGCTATTTAATTATGGTTTAGAATTAAATAATGAGTCCATTCGATTTATGGAAATATTCAAAACAGGGTATCAAGACCATGTCTTGGATAAAGAAACACCTGTTAAGTGAACATTGAATATTTAAATAAAAAATTATCCCTAATCAAGGTCATTCAACTCATGGACGATTGATGACCACCAGAGATTAGTGTGTAGTATGATTTACAACACTATTTCTTGTGCTGCAAGGATGTAATGGTCACAAATCATTTGCACAGGTGCTAGTTTAGAACTGCACTGGATAGAC